CACTATTTTTAAGGTGTTTATTTGTCCCACATAGAGATAACACCTCCAGGATACAACTAAGCCCTCTAAACCTTTAAAAGAATGAGAAGATAAAACCAATAAAAGAATATATATATTTTTGTTGTTATTTTTTCTTTTCTTTGTAGTAACATGCTTTTATAGACTTGAAACATAACAATGAAACAATATGACTGTTCATCAAATAATATGATTGTTGATGAAATAATATGATTGTTCATCAAACAATATGACTATTGATGAAACATTATGGTTGTTCATCAAACAATATGATTGTTGATGAAATAATATGATTGTTTATCAAACAGTATGACTATTCATGAAACAGTATAACTGTTCATATTAAGTTCCAAATTCAAAGCTCCAAATGCTATCTTTTGATATTTTAAATATCTATATAATAACATTAGAAAGCCAAATAGGAGAATTTGTCCACCATAGCTTAATTTACTACATAATAGAAACCCACATTTAGAAACATTAGGAGGGATTGTTTCTTTTTAATGTGGCTTAAACATCTTTTCATCTATTCATTTACAAACTACACCAACTCTTTGCTTGTTTAAGGTTTGCCGGTCGTGCTACTAGTAACCTTTTCGTTTGAGACATACTTACACCAGAACCAATGTTATTTCCACACTCTGCAATTGGGATGTTTTTAGTCTCGGGCATAAAATAATGTATGAAAGAAGACATGAAAATAAAAAACCCAGCAAAGAATAAGAAGAAGAGACCAAACTTCATATGACAAAGCATGGAAAGGAAGAAATGGCCAATCAGTAAGGTGAAGAACATGTTAATTAATCGAGACATTGGTGGCTTGTCTGGCCGATCGGATCTCCGGAGGGCAAATTTCACTTGACACTAGCCATCCCAATGGACCAAAGACCATGCAAAAGCAGCTAAATAAGCACATATCACAGCTAGCACAAAAAGCAGCTATATGTGCACATATCGCAGCTAGCCCAACGCAGGACAAACCCTTAGACATGGCTCCCGCTCCTTGTGTCCCAAAAGCAAGCTCTATCATGATGGCAACACTACCCTTCAATCAAGTTTAACATTTTGACAGTGCTAAGATTGTAGCTAGTAATAGTAAATCAAAGTTTTGTAAATATATATTAGATTAACGAGTAAAGATGTTTGGTTTATGCTAAGATTGTACACTAGTAATGTTTGGTTTATTATCATAAAAATATGCTAAATAAAAAATGTTCAATAAAAACATAGAACTTATAAATGTTTAAAAGTATAAACATAATTAATTGCAAATATGCTTTCAATACAAAAAATAATAATATAATTATAGCATGCATATTAATTATGTAATTAAACTTACAATTGATATTAATTCAAAGTTCTAGAATACATATTAATAATAAAAAACAATCCATGTTTAAATTAAAATAAAATAATAAAACTTTTGTTGTTATTAATAATACATTTTTTATTCTTAAAGATTCATTACTTTTCACTTATACAACTAAACTATTTATAATATACTTTTTAAAGTTTTAATAACATCATCTTAACTTAGATATATTTCTAAATAAAATGTTTGAACAAAAAAAATTAAGTTTTCATATATAAAGCTGTAGACAATCTTTTTGCAAGTTGCAACCTATCAGTTTAATTATTATATATTCAGATCTTTTAAATGGTTTAATTTAGAACTTGGGTTAGATAAGAAATCAAATAATAAGTTTTAAAGATCTATCTTACCAAAAAGTTCAATAATTTTTTTTAAGTTTGAAAATTTTTTAGGCCAGCTTTGTGTGATTTATTTATCTAATTATCAATTATTATGTATTAATTATTAGTTTATTTATTTTTAAATTATCCTAATAAATTTCATGTTGGAAACAATTCAAATAACCTAAAATTATAGATGTACTAATTAGCTGGCTCTTTTCATGAAAGATCATCCAAACAATTTCCTATCATCGTCCTGGCAGAACAATTCAAAATATGATGGTCAACATTCTTCTTAAGTAGGTAGTACAAGTGATGCCATCAGTAAGAAGATTTGCAAGAAATTTCATGCTTCTCTAACATCCTCACATATATAAATTATATATTTATAGAGAAGCATGAAATTTGCAAGAAATGAAGTGTTAAAAGTACAAAAAAAAAGTAGTTAAAAAGATAGTATAATGTATAAATTATATATAAATATGTACTCAATAAATTTTATATCATTATTCAAATAAAATATAATATATGTTTGTGGGGAGAGGAACACACAAGTAATGTTTTTAAGAATAAAAAAAAAGAAAAGGGAATCCACAAATCCCAAAAAACTCTCCCCTCAGCATTGTTTTGCCACTTCCTCCATCACCAAAGTTAAATCTAAAATCAAATACAACTTTAAACTTCAGAAAAAGGGGAGGGGTGGGGGATTAGGAGCATTTTCATTGAGTACCGGACAAACAATCAATGTCAAAGTCTAATGTACGATCACTTTTAACAAAATTCATCGAATGTAAGGACCAGACATATTTCTCGGACCGAAAAAAAGAGAAGACAAGTGAAAGCTTGGATCATCATAACCTTACAAAGATTGAAGAACAAAATAATGACAGTCAATACGTTAATCAATAACTGAGAAAAAACCAGAACTACATTTCAAACAGAAACTGGCCTAGAAGATGAAAAATGAGTTAAAAGTCGACAACAGATTGAACATACAGTTTAACTGATCAGTGCTCGATTGTTAACACAATGTAATCTGTTAATTATCATGCAGAACGGTAAGTTATAAGGATTGGAGAAGAGAAAAAGAGCCTAGCATGATTGATAAGAGTTTGTCAGCTAGCCAAGGTGCCTGCCCAAAACCAAATGGAAGGTGCCCAGTAATATATTGGACCCAACTAAGATGGTGGGGGGCAAGTCGTCCTTGGCTACCAAACAAGCTCTTATCTTCATGTAAGACTATTGTCTCGAATTTATACTCGATCAAACCAGGGCCAAGCCTTATCCTGTGTGCTACAGAGGTTTGTAGAACATTGGAAGTATGCAAGGAACAACGTCTTTAGGAGGAAAACAGAGGTTAGCATGAAGAGCTGCCTGTCATGTTAGTCAAGCTGATGATTGCCTGGGAGCCTCAACGAGGGAACTAACTTGTATATTCATCTAAAGTTAGGCACCTCATTGTGGGAACAGGCAATATCGTCGTTGGCTACCAAACAAGACTCTTCATCTTCATGTTAGACCTCTTTTCTCAAATTCATGCTCAAATGGGGTAATGAGTCTAGGTTCTCACAGTGTCCATTTATAGTAAACGATAGAATAATGATCACTAGACTTAGCGGTGACATTAAAGTATTCGGTTCTTATCAATACAGTTGTTGTTTCTCAATGATAAGCCCCTTGCTCCCGATGGAACATATTCACTGATGCTTTGCTATTATCTTGAAGTACTACTGTTTTGACCTTAATTTAATTGAAAGCAAAAAAGGAAGCATAAGATCTTACAGCAAGAGATGATTGTGATGTGACACCTTTGCTATAAGATGGATGAAGGGTTCTACCACCCTAAACCTTTCCCCACACTCCGCTTCACAAGAGGGTCAATATTCCACCAACTTGAGATGTTATCACCTTTAAAGTAGATTAAAGTCAACGCGTTTGCCACGCACAAGAGAGGATAGGATTCTACGATTTACATTGGTTGACTCTGAGGTTTTCGAATCCCGGTTGAGCGTGTTGCTTATGATGTTGATGCTCTATATATGCATGCATTGCAGCAGCAACTATCGAATTATAGAAGTAGAATTTCTTAAAGGGGATGTTCATAAAATAAATTCGAACAAAAATATTTGAGTAGATTTCTCCTACATGAAGATGAGGATTTGAGAATAATTCGAATCGAGTTATCTTGGATAGAGTTACAAATATTTAAGTGATTAAGAAAAGGAAAAGATAACATTTCTGTTCTAAATGAGGAGATCTCAGATATGGTTATTCTTGCTTATCTAATTCTAATTTGTTAAAAAATCTCTCCAGGACAAGTCCTTTGCTCACCACTTTCTTATTTCTAGGCAATTCTCTGCATTTTAAGCAGTAACCACTGAATTAATATATAAAGCTGTATACGCACAAATAATTTTGGAATTTATATCTGTTGATTAGGATTTTATAACACTAACATTCAAATGTACTCCTAGAAAATTTTAAAAAAAGCAATCAAAACATCGATAAAAAATATTCTGATGAAACTATGATGAAAAACTTCTGCAAGTAAACTCAAACAGAAACAGTGATAAAATAATAATAAAAATATTATTTTAGTAATTCTATGAGCATTAATAACATGTTAAATTATCAATGAAATTGCGAACAAAAGTTCTATTATAGTGATTTTGCAAGAAAGGACTAGAATTGTACAATATATTGTCATTTTATCATTTTATATTTCATAAGAAACAACTATAATTTCTTTTAAAGTGGGGAATAGAGAGAAGGAAAAGAGATTAAGATAATAAAAAGTGGATGTGAGTGTGAAGGTAAGAGAGGAAAAACATAAAGTGAGAAGGAAAAATATTACCTGTACCAAAAACTCGGTTACTTACACTGAATTATACGAGTTGGATTGAGTTGAATGTTTTTCAAAAATCCTAACTTGTATTTGACCTGTGATACCTATTTATTAGATTTTTTGATCCATTATCATCTGTAATATTTATATAATTTGACTTTGACAAGTCAAGTTAAATAATATAAATCATAGTTTTAAAACTTGGTCCACCCTAGCTGGTCAACCTGGGACCTGGATGACTCGGGTCTATGGCTGGGCAGGATTTAAGAGAAAAACAGGCCAGGAATTGGCCCGGTCAGACCTGGAAGGTTGACTTGGAAGGTCGACCCGGGACCCGGCCAGCCAGGGCAAACGCCGCTGAGACCCAGGTTTATGTTTTTTTAATATCTTCATGACCGAAACGACATCGTTTTGGCTTTTTACACTTAAAAGGCTAAAGCGAGAAGAGTAGAGGAACGAACGCAGTGTAGAAGTGAGAAGACCTAATTAATTTCAAACCTAATTCAAGAAATCTTCAAACATATTTCAGACGCGAAGAAGAACGGAGGAGCAGAAGACTCTTGAATTCTTGCTTGCTGTTTTAAATCTGAGAATAAGGTTAGATGAGCTATTGACCGAATTCATTTTTCTTTCTTCTTTTGCTATCCTTTGTTTCAAATTGAAATATCTTTTAAAGATTATTCCCTCTGTTGAACTTGCAGGAGAGCTTTACTATAACAGTGGCATCGATTCTTCCCTTTGTTGAACCATTTGTTTTGAACTGGCAGGCTTGCAGCTCCACATGTATATATCTTATATTCTTTGTTCTTTTATTTTTCTGCGACTTCAAATGGTCAAAGACTTGAACTTTGCTGTGAATATTGTTGTGAATATTGCTCATACATGGAAAAAAATGTATGAGAAAGCTCTTGACTTGCTATTTTATTTTATAGTGAATTTTGTTTTACTGTTTGTTCATTCTACTTCTGCAATTAGTTGTTTTTGCTTCTGCTGGAGTGATTGAATTTGTCAATTTGATGTCCCTATTTGTTTATTTTGCTTTTGTTTTTTCTATTAATTTTGTTACTGTTCTGCTTAAGGTGGTCGTGCTTAGTTAATTTTCTCCATGGAAGTGCAAAAAAGGAAAGGTAAAACTTTGCAATTGAGCTAAGAAATTCTAGAAGACTATAATGTAATCTTAGAAATTAAATTTCTTCACAAATAATTCTTCTACAGACCCGAGAGGTGGTGCTGGTCTCAGCAAATATCACTTAAAATGTGAAAGAAACATTAGAAAATAAATTATTGAAGTCATTTATTCATTATATAATAAAAGTATATATTGGCTTGAAATTATATTCCCTCTTATAAATTATGCCTGACCGTGAAAGAAGTATGCTGATGATTTATTAGGTGTTGACGAGAATGACTCATTTTCATCGATATTTGATCCAAATTTTACTTCCATGGACATAGAAAAACTTAATATATTTATGCAACAAAAGTGAATGTGTTGTTGATTTAGAATTTATGTTGTTAGATATTTTGTTTAAAATATTTTAGAATTTATGTTGTTAGATGTTTTGTTTAAAATATTTTAGAATTCATATTTGGTTTGTGTTTTGGATATTGAATTTAATTTATGTTGTTGGTTTAAAATTTAAATTTGGTTTATGTAAGTGTTGCATTGTAAATTTATAACTAGTTAGGTGTTTTTTTTTGGTTGACCCTGATCAACTCATCTGACCCGTGACCTGATCACTGGACTAAGTCAATAACCGGATCAGATTTTAAAACTATGATATAAATATTACTAATGAGTTTATTTTTTTAACACTCTTAATGTTATTCCTTCAAATGTCTCTAAACAACAAGAGCGGCAAATAAGTATTTGAGAAAAGCTAGTTTTAAAATTAATTTCTTCTATTTAGTATAGTAAATCAAAAGAGTTGGCTCCTAGTTTATTTTGTATTATTTTTAGAGATTGAATTTCATTAAAAATCCAATTCTTAACATTAAAAATGATCCAAGTATGATATTTTATTAAAATCTCTTAACATTAAAAATGATCCAGGTATGATATTCTATTAAAATCTCTTAGTGAAATTTAATTAGGAGGGCTTCGAACATATTGTATATTTAAATTCTTGTTTGTAATCTTTTAGTATTTTTTGTTGTTGTTGCTTTTTTAAAAAAAGTGCAATTGAAGGAAACATTAGATTCTATTTAGTGTTTATTAAGAGAGTGGTAAAAATTATTTTTTAAAATATTTTTTATTGGAAAATGCATTAAATTAATATATATATTTTTTATTTTTTAAATTATTTTTTTGAAATCAATACATTAAAATGATTCAAAAACAAAAACAAAAAAATTTAAAACTAAAATTAATTTAAAAAAATCTTTAAAAATTTAATTAGATAACAATACCGAACAAGTAGTTTGACGGGCTACCACTGAAGTTTCTTGTTCATCATGTCACGCCTTCTTTTCTTCAGGGTGCTCTTGACATCAACTTGCTCGTGATACACTTCCACATTTCACAAACACAAACATATCATTTGAAAAACATGGTGACAGAAACCTTGAAAGGCTCTCCAGTTATTCTTTTTTGAAGCAATGTTTCTTTCTCTATTTTACTTGTAGGCTATTCGTTACTGGTTGGTCGAAATCTGCAGTGGTTATTAGACAGCATTGAATAAATTATTATATTGTTGTGATCTTGACATTTTAGAAATTCCAAAATTCTTTCTGCTTAAAGCTTTATTAATTCAGTGGTTAATGTCTAAAAAAGGGCAGAAGATATTGCAGGGAAATAAGAAAGTGATCAGTCAAGGTATTGTCCAGGATAAATTATCTTACAAACTAAAATTAGGCAAGACATTGAAGAACCATCACTAGGACATCGCGAGAGAAGGTAGCAGGCGTAAGCTTAGATGGACATGGCTGAAGAAGCTTTATTCCCATCAAAATACAGGGAAGGCCAAAGTAGCACTCTAGCACTTAGAAGTCTTTCAAAGCAACCCAGATTATAGAGCATAGAAACTGGTTATGA